TAAATAGTTCCTACCCTTGTAGCCTTCGCAGGGAATTTCAGAGTCCTGGAAGTCTTGAATCCGACACTTCCTATCAAATACCGGTCCACCTTGATCGTAGACGCCTCGCTCCGCCCGTCTGTAGAAGCCTCCGGAGGGGTTCCAGTACGGTCTTCCGGAATGCCTACAGAAGTCTTCGATATGCCTAGACTCGGATGTGTTCACTTGCGACCCACCAATTATGCTATTTTGCTTATTCGCCTTGATGCTACGTCTCTGCGTCTTCGATTTGGTTACTTGCATGATATTGGAGTTCACCCATTGCGACCAAGTTTTGTCATCCACTTCGCTAGGCTTCACGGCATAAATCTGTACGTCTCTGCTTGAGAGATTATACACATGTCGTGTGTGGGTTTGACCCATCCAAAAGTTAAACAAACGTGAAAACTAATTTCTGCATGTCACCTTAGCGACTACTTCTCAGCATCTCTCGATGATCAGCGAACACTGAACGTAGAAGCCACCACGTGATTGCGAAACAATTTCTTTCTGCATTGAGGCCACACTATAAGCATATGTGACCATGCCCGAGAATAAGGTATCTTTGGCATCTGCGGCTACGCAAGCAACAACGGCTGGCAACTATTTCAACTGAACCTCGTAAAAAACGTGGGTTGCTCTACTATGGCCACTTCGAAGCCATACGAACCCCCCCCCCGAAGCTGAATCGACACATTCCCTAAACATCCCATCATCACTGCCTACGTATCGGCCGAAACTACATATGTTATTACCTAAGGACGTATATATAAGCGTCCATTTACAATCGGATACGGTGGCATCGGATCATGGCGGGCCGAGCGGGGTGCATGCTCTCACGTCACGATAACTCTGCGCGTGCGTGTGTGCTTGCGTACGGAATTGTTTCGATCAGCTGAATTGTTTTCTAAACTTCTTTAGAAAAGAGGCCAATTCTTTAGAAATGAGGATTTCCCCCGTTGGGACTGGTGGCCTAGGCCAGCGCAAGCCGTTTCATTTGCTCCAGGGCGAGCGAGGTCACCGGCTCCATGTTCGAACCCCGGGTCGTCGCATTTTTCAGTCTTTTTACGATACGCGCAGAACTCGTACGTGAAGTGGTTATCACACACAGCCATGGAGGTAGCAGTTAAAG